TTAAAAATTACAGCAATATATGGACAGTCCAAGGAACTTCAGATGATGTGTTTAGAAGTTAGTTAGTAAAAGGTAAAGTTTGCACACAGAAATGCCACCATAAAAGTTTACTCAGAAATGTCTTATGAGACATTTGAAACAGTTTCATAAGCCCATGAGCTATGCACTGGAGATCCTTGATCTCACTTACAATCATTCATTAACTATATCTTGTACCATGGCACAATCTATTACTTAATGAAAATGCCTTCTTCTATCATGTGTTCTTACTCTCTCTGCTTGCAATGTGTGTGGAATAACAACAGAACAATCATCTAATTCTATCTCTATGTGTTTCCAACACTGAATATCAATTCTCTATGTGTTTCCATTATGAATATCTCATTTGAGCAGAAGAAAAGCTATATACATTACAACAAATATACATCAGTTAGAAAACAAACATGGTTACTTTTTAACATCTTACTATCAAAACTGTTAAAAACAGCTATACATTATTCTTGTCCAAAAATAATACACAAAAACTTACATGATGACTGGCTTGTTGAATTTCTTGGATGATGTTTTTAGAGTCTGATTTCAGAGGACAAGAAATTATTACAAATCCTGCAAACTCCAAATGACTTTCCACAAATTCTCGTGTCATGTCTCTAACCTAGAATTATATTTAAAGTAGAAGAATACCTTCTGCATACAACTTCAGGTTTACTTTATTAATCTACAAATGAAAAATCTAATTATTGCTTTGAAGGAAAAACTGTAATACCTTGAACTCTAATAATTTTCAACATATATAACAGTTTTGCAAATTTTATTTACTGTAAGACACATAAAAATATTTTTACAGCAAGTCCCATTTATGACATCATTTTACTGCTAGCAACTATTGCTACTCTCTTTACAGAATTATTAGGCCAAACATTATCAACCTATCATTACTTCAATAATGAGAATAAACAAACAGAAATTAACAATCAAGTAATAAAAAGATCAGAGAAATCATTTTCGTAATAAGTCAAAAACCATGACACAAATAAAATCTTGTTTTTATTCAAGTATACACAAATTTAGAAAAATATTAAATCATGATTTAATGTCAATATAAAAAGCAACAAAAAACATTAAATATAAAACCTGATGTATTAGGAAATTTGCTATTTACCTATATAATAAGTCATTATTGATATAATCCTGTTTACAACATAATTTTAAGATCCTATCCATATAAGAGTACAAAACACAGGTTTTTTGAGATGTAGTGTGACGAAATTGTTGATGTGGCGGAATGATTACAGAGAAAGGTTTACGGTAAATGGTAGCTTCCAGTTTATCCTTATTTTTACTCACTAAAACACCCAAAAAAGGTAAACAACAATTTATCTCAACTTCATAATTAAATCTTATAGAATTATCAATGTTATTAAGGTAATTAGCAAAATTAGCTAGTTCATCTTTACCATACCACCAAATCAAAAATGTGTCATCCACATGCCTTAAACTAACTTCAGGTTTTTTATCTGCTTTTTATAGTTCTTCTCTTTCAAAACTGTCCATAAATAAATCACACAATAATGGGATAAAGGAACCCATAGCTAAACCCTCGTTCTGTTTATAAACATTGCTATTAATTTGGAAAAATGAGTTTTCAACACATACTTCTAACATGTTAATTATATTCATTATTTCTAAGACTGAATTATTATTTTTTTCAGTTTTTTTCTCAAAACATTCAATAGCTTTTTTCACAGGTACTTTGGTAAACAATGACACAACATCAAATGACACCAAAATATCTTTTTGATCTAAAATTATATGCTCAATTCTTTCCACAAATTCAAACAAATTCTTAACTGTGTATTTATTTTTATCCCTTATTTTAGCACAACCTGAAAATGTAATTGGTATGAATATACGTGAATCTATTGAGATAATTAAATGTAAAAAAAGTAAATATAAATTATTGAATAAAGAGGATGGACCTGATGGAAATATTATCAGCAGAGGGCATGAAATTCTTTAATGAGGATGACGCAAGGGTACACGTCAAAACATGTAGAGTGTATAAGATTGTTTTCAAGTCTCATCGGGGTTTTTTACCACTTTTTAACCTTGTATAGTAACTTATTATTTTAGTAATTTGGAGACTGGAAACAATCTCATTTTTAGAGAATTGTGTATAAAATAATCTTTGTTTTTGTAAAAAAATTTTTTTTAGTTTTTAAGATTGAACATTACACACGTGCCAAATAATTTTGAAAAAATAGGAACACATCTTATAATGCTGCCAAAATGGTAACATCTCACATTTACCCACTAAAAGTTTATACCAAAGAAACACTGGATGTATAACAAAACACAAATATACCAAATAAAATATAAAAAGTACTAAGAGAGATAAGAAATCTTCTTAATTTTTAACTCATTCTTTCACTTAGCAAATATTTTGTACATTCCCAACTAAATCTGATAGTTAATAGAATCCCTTCTCTAAGCTGATCATTTTAAAGATATGTCTAGAAGACCTAGATCAAATAATAATACTAGTTTAAAAAAAAAGTTGGAGAGAAAGAAAATAATATAACTTCAAGTAATAGAAGAAACAGTTTAGCTATTATTACTAATAATGTTTTCAGTGAACCATGTTCTCAAGATTAAAGTTGCAAAATTAGATTTTATCGGCCCATAAACACAAGTATTATTAAGATTAGAACTGAAATAATCAAAAGGAATGCAAAATGAGAGAGAGATGGAACTTAAAGCTTTACTAGCGATTACAATAACATAATTAAAAGTACAGAATACGAGACTTTTTGTCACTGCCTATGATATTTATTTCTGACTTTATTCATGTTACTTTAATGCTTAATTTTTTGTTGAGTATTTTAAGTACACTAAATATCTTAAAAACTAATTTCAATATCACCTAAGAAAATTTATAAACTAGCCATATGTGTTCAACTGTGGTTTTAAAAAAAAGGGTAAATAAAAAAGTACACCTTTAGGTAAAGCATAAAAGTTAAGTACATTTTTACGTTAACTCATGATAGCTCTAAAATATGAAGATCAGTGAACCTTTTACAGGTTACTAGAAATAAAATGCTTAACATGGCATCAGTGTTTATTTTTAAATTTTCAAACCTTCAACAACAGGAATAAAAGCTTTTTTCTTTACCTGCTGATGAGAAAGAGATCCCAAAGTCTTCCTACCCAATGCTAAGACGCGAGCTCCACGTCTGGCCATCTCTAGGTAAGTATCATTATAGCTAACAGGAACTGAATCAAACTAAAATTAAAACCAACAGTCACATATTACTTAATTTACCAATTAAGTAACACAATATCTCAACAATATAAAATTGGCATTATTTGTATGTATCTTTGAAGAAGTTTAATAAATTTCCTAATAAAATTGATGCTCTTATAATGTAATAATGAATATAAAATGAGAAAAGTGTTACTAGATACTAACATACACAAAATATGATCTACATTCTACTAAAAACTTTTATTTCTCAATATTCTAATTCCTTTAAAATTACTACTTCTTTAATCTAACATAAAACAGAAACATTTCTTTAGTCATGTATTCCAATACTGTTTGAATTGTTCTTTAAAGTAATTACTTCTTTAGTTTAATATAAGACATAAAAATTTCTTTAGTCGTGTATTCTAATACTGTTTGAATTGCTCTTTTTAGTTGTAACATGTACCTTCCATGTGTAATATCTCACAAAATATTGTAAACTATGTTAAATGCTCTTTAAACATAAAACTTACAGTTGGAATAAATGATGAATAATTACATTTATTATATAAGCTAATAGCCAACACCATATTTCCACTCTTCTCGTAAAAATAGGATTTTAGCATTTTTAAAACTAAGGCCATGTATAATGCCACTCACCATTGGCCGCAATGTTTCTGGGGCTCCTTTTACAGTAGCAATGTAAATAGTGTCTGAAGACCCAGGAGTTGTATACCCAGCAATAACTGACATCCGTTTGAGGGCACTGGAAAAATGGAACCTATGGAAGATTTTTATTCCTGGTGACTTGCCCTTTTTTGGTATAACAGCATCACCTGATGAAATTAAACAAAATTAAACTATTCAATTAAGTAATAAGGTACAAACTACATGGTGCTGCATGACAATTAAGGTCAAAACTATAAGTCAGTTACAAAATTTGTTTGATAATTCAGACCTTGTTTTAGGAAGTATCATTATGTTTGATAATTCAGATCTGTTTTAGGAAGTATCATTATGTTTGATAATTCAGACCTGTTTTAGGAAGTATCATTTTATTTGATAATTCAGACCTGTTTTACGAAGTATCACATATGAGGTGTAGATCAATAAAATGGAGAAGTCTGCTGGTTAGTGATTATAAGGAGCCAATGCCTATTACTCAACAACTGTGGGTCTTATACTAAGAACAGAAGGAAACACAATGTGTTTATAGTAATAACTACTCCACTTTCCATTAACAGAAATTTATAATAAAAACAACTCATAAACAAGCCATTAGAAAAAAAAATGAATTGTTTTGATTTGAACATAAGTCCTTGTAGATATTTTATCCTTTTATGGATATTCTTATCAAATGGGTTACTAAGAATAGTAGGACTAAAAAAAGGACTACAATAAGTGATTTGTTCTTATAGATAAGTTAAGAAAAACTACTGACATGCCTGTCTCTGTCATTTATTGATAATGTTTTTTAAATTAAAAATTCAAAGTTTTTGATTGCATATTTTAACATAGAAACAATTAAAATTAAAGAACATAAATAAATATGAAAAGTGACATAAAAGTTGGAACAATTCATATGACAAACAATAAGTAAAGAAATCAAGTTCAATCAATAGCTCAGTGTATTAACTGGCTAATTAGCAAGAAAAACAGAAATTATGGTGAGAAGTTTGATCATAATCACACAAACAAAATATACCTAAGTATAAAAAAATATTAACAAAATATCATTTGTTAAATATAACTTATTTAGCAGCCATCTTTCTAGGTCATGAAACATTTATCTCACTCAATGCTATAAGAGTCAATTAAAATAAATTAGCTCTTTCAAGTATGTATATAAAATGAAATCCAGCTACTGACCTTTGGTCAATGTCCATTCTATAGCAGTCAGAGTTGCTTTTTCTAAAGGATCTCCAACCATACCATCCTCCAATTGTACTAAGGAATGACAAGTGGCCAAAATCTGTATGGTTTCTATTGGAGTATCAGATATGGCACAAATTGTCTCTTTTTCCCTGAAATAAAACCTACTGTGTAACCAAATGTCAGACAAAAATGCACTTTAAAGCAAAGTTTCTGGGAATAATATATTAAAAAGTTGGAGTACGATTCACTAATGACTCACTCGAGCCATTTATGGTCACCATCACAGTAGAGTGTATTAAAATTTCACTGTGAATTCAAAAGTTGATTCAAAAATTACATCAATTAATGCAATAACTGTTAGGCATTCTTTCCTCTACATTACCTGCTAAACTTTATTGACACAAAAGTACATATGAAATTCAAAACTACAAAATTATTTTTTGATTAAGCTTCTGAGGTTTGGAAAGTAATATATAGTATGTCAAATATAATTCACTACCAAATATACACAAAGCTGCACAGTGGGCTATAAAAAAACAGAAAACATTACAACATGTGACAGTTTATAGCTATATTTCTTACATTCTCATGTAATATAGATGAGTGGAAATGTCAAATAATTTTGCACTAATATTAAAAAACAAAAAACTTTAAAAGCAGTAAATAAAAAAATTAAGCCTACAGTTACTCTTAGCTTTTTATTAAATATAACTGACAGTAACATCTACACCAAAATAGAATGTAATGTCTTCATGTTTTGTTTAAAATTTGTCAGTTTTTCTTGGGAGAATGAGATATGCTTTGCCAAATCAGTAATAAAATTTCTTTAAAACACATATCAACATAGGTCGAAACAAACAGATTTTAAATACAGAAACATTTATCAAGTTTGTTTGAATATAAAACTAAAGCATACAAGAATAATTATTTTATAGTTTAAGCTTGATTTATAACATCTGTTATAGAAACTTTTGTTCTAGAAGGACATACAGGTCTCCCTTTCCAGTATTATATTGAATAATAAGAAGTACAAAAAGTATACACTTTACAGTTTCATGGGAATAATAAATATATTTTAAACAAAAGCATAATTTTTTAAACTTACTTCAAACCTGCTATTCCTTCAACCACAAGGTTATCACTAGTTAAAGTTCCTGTTTTATCAAAACAACAGATTTCAGTTTTTCCTGCAAATGGAATTCGGAATGGCTCGGTACAGTATACAGCTGGAATAGAAAAAACAAAAAAGCAGAAACATGACACACTTTATTGTAAGCTATTTGAAACTAACATAAATTACTAATACTAATCTTGGGTAACAATTGTTTCAAGAATTGAATGCAACAAGGAAGATGGCCAGCTTTGATCAAGGCTCTTTTACAAAATTTAGCATCAGTAAATAAAAGTGGTTTTGTTTACTAAGTAGTACATCACATAAGTAATCTTTTTCAGAATCATTTTAGCTTTGTTGCAGAGAACCTACGTGACCTTGTTAATTCTGTTTTGAAACAGTGTTTCATGGATAAAATGAAAATACCATAAAATATTATTGACTAACAACAAAAGCAGCCAATCCTCTATTGAAATGGCTACCAATTTTCGAGGTGTGCTACTCAAATTATTTGATAATATGGTGAAAAATACGTCCGAACTTGGTATATGAGAGTAAACTACTAAGTTACCTACCTAGCTTGGACAAAGCTAGCAAAGATGTGTTGACAGCCAGCGACAGCTCTATGGGGAGTTCAGGGGGAACAACAGAAGTTAAAATCAAAGTGCATTCTAGGAACAGCTTATATCTATTCCTATTTGGATCTTCTGTGCCTATAAGATGAAAAAAATGGAACACATTACGAAAAAAAGGAGTCATTCAAAAATGATCATACATAATTTCACAAACAGCAGCTTAGGATTAATACTAGTTCTACAAATATTTTTCAGTAACAGGTATCTTCAATTTAGTGACTGGCTATGTTTCAGTATCACATAAATAAAACACAAGGTATCTACTGTTGCTTTTAAGGCCAAGAACATTTTTTAGTTACAAGTGTTTAGTGGAAAACAGACTTATTAGTATGGATAATACACTAAAATTTAGAAGTGAAACAATAACACCGTGTTTGTTTATATTGATTGTTTTCAGTTATAAACAAGATGAAATATTTTAAATCCCTTATCCTATTCAGTTTCAAAGAGTACTGAAATTTACTTCACAAATCACTGATTAAATCTGAAAATTACAACCAGAGGTTCTGTTTCCATTTAGTAAATTATGTTCAATCTAACTCATGAAAGCAAAAGGAAAAATGTCTTTTAAAATGAAGTTCAATAAGATAAAATTAAAACTTTAAATAAATGGCCATTTATAGAGCAAGTGAAAATTGTAAATGATTAATCTCATGTGGTAGATTTGGTAGTTTAAGCTTGGAATGTGAAGTGATTTGTTAAAATATAATTTTTGGTTTTTAAATTGTCTTTTAAAAGTCAAATACAGTGTATTTCCATTCCTCTAAACATCATGTTAAACAATAAAATAAAAACATACAAGTCCACATTGGATAACAAAATTTACAAAATAACCAACTGAAATCTGAAAATTCAAAGATTTATCAACTCAACTAAATCAACTATAGAGTTGCAACTCAATGGAGTTTTATTTGGCTTTGGTGGAAAAGCTTTAAGACAAAAACTGTGACCCAAACCCTATAACTTAACCAATTTTGCAAATATAAAAAAACAAGTGTGTCTTCAATAAGCTCTATATCTATATTGGTATCAACAATGAATATTTGTATAGAAAACAAGAGGTGCATTATCTCACATTGGCATTGAAATTAAACAAATGTTCTGAAAGATAGAAATGGTTTATATGGATATTCACTGCCTCTATTTTAATATTTTAAAGTGGTATGACTTTTAGTAAGAAGCAGTAAATTACTTCCTTTTCTAATATATTTAAAGTTTTATCAAAAATTATGTAAATAGGTAAATAAAAAAAACAAGCTCCTGAAATTACTTAACTTTCTTCACAGTAATTAAAGTCTTACTGCAATTCTCGTGATAGCATCTTGTGGTATAAAGTTAGTTTTGACTTGGACATAATAAAACAAATGTTTGGACAATTGAGCAAAACTCGGAGTTTTTGAACATTAAAATAAAAAATTAAACCCACCAACATTTTACATTTTGTATGAAAGGTAAGTCGCTTTCTAAAACACCAACAACTGCAGAGTGTCCACTGCTATAGTTTAATTCAAATTTCTTTATTACAGAACATTTTTAAAACCAATAATGCATGAACTGAGATAAAGAAATACAAAAATCTCAATCTAGATATATATGAGAAAGCTTAAGTGGTTTCTCTTGAAACAAAATTTTGTAGATAATTTTTAGAAGAATATTCATACCTTTTATCCACACATAACCAGCTGCTGTAATGGCAAACACCAAGAGAAATAAGATAAAGCAAAAGGTTTCTAGATTATTGGCTGTTACTCGTTTCACACCAAACAGTATCGTCCTCAGGAGTTTTCCTTGGGAGGTGTTGAAGCTTGTACGCAAAACATATGCAATGCATCCATTATCTTGAGCTGAGAATAATAAAAACAAGTATTTACAGTTAGCACATACAACTTTGGAAAATGGAAATAATTGTTAACTTTGTACGTACTTAGCTGTCTTTAAAAGTTCAAAAATCAAAGCACTTCTATCATGAAAGATATATTTGTTTGTTGTTAAGCACAAAGCTGTGGGTTATCTGTGTCCGATCTTTAACATTACAAGCCCACAGACTAACTGCTGAGCCACTGGATGACATCACAAAAGGTAAGAAAATACAGCTCATCTTGAACATATATATATATATTCCGTACATTACAATATTCTAGTTCTGTGGCAAAAGAATGTTATGATCAGCAAATCTATTATTTTAAATAGTTTACATAAGAAATATATGTTGTGCAAAACCTGATACTGTCTGATTTGTTTTTGATACTTGGGCAAAATTACACAAGGGTTATCTGTGTTAGCCATCCCTTGAACTTATACAGTAGATGGAAGGTAGCTAGTAACAGCATCCACTGAAAACTCTTGGGCTACTCTAATAAAATAGAGGGACTTTACCTAGTATCTATAGTCTGGCACACTAACCCCTAGGCCAAGCCTGTTCCATCTAGTACAGAATAATTATGAGTTATTAAATAAATAAGTTTTATCAAATGAATGTGATATACCTTGATGTATATACATATCCACTGCACAATGTGTAACTGTTTGTGACTAGTCACAAAACATATTTCTAAACTACCTTACTTCGATATACTGTACACACATTTTGCTTGAGTGAATTTAACTTGGATGATAACTGAAAGAGCCAATAAAAAAAAACACTTCAAATAAACGTCTTCAAAATTTAAATGCCCAAAAGTTTAAAAGCAACAGTAGACTTTAAACTTCCTGGCTATTCAGATGTGTTTCACAGAGTATTATTTGGAAACCTTACTTTCAACATTTTCAGTAAGATTCAAAGAATAAACGTTTTTTGTTTATTAAGAGATAAAAATTGTCCAAAAAATATTTTGCAACAGCATTAGTGTACTTCAGGCATGCAAAAACTGAGAGACTGTGGAAACGGGGCCCATCTTTCCAGAGGGATCATCCATGTACAGAGAAGCATTTGCATGAAAGTAGCTATTTCCATATTACACATGACAAACCACTTGAAACTTTTAAAACTACATGACTATAAAAATTGTTTTCAGAATGTAACTCACAAAGTTTACAAATAAAAAAATACTGTAGATAACAAAGCATATGATTAGTTTCTAGGCTATTAAAATTGCACCTTTTTACTAAGTGTAAATTTCCACTCATTCTTAGGTGATTGTCATTTATATCTGTCTGAACAAGTTACTGCTCATTATTGAGGTACCTTAAATGCTACAAATGTTTTTTCTTGACAGATCTGCACTTGTCTTAATCTTATCTTTTAAAACATAAAAAAGCAACATCTTGTAACTTCATATTTCTAAGAAAACTTTCCATAATTATTGTTATAATAACCAAAATTTGGTGTCTCATGGAGTACTTTATTATCATTATTTTCAGTAACAAAGCACTTATAGATATGCGGTCATATTAAATCAAACAGTGCCATGAAACAAAGTCTGTCATATGTAAAATCATTACAGGATTTTATTTCATCTTCTATGATGCCAGTAACATGTCTCCTTTATTACCTCTGAGTCCTGGGCTAGTCTTAGTGGGAGGTGTGTGTTGAAGTACTTTGGTTCCTCCGTAAAGAACGTGCAACCTTCCACCTGCTTCAATATCTAAATGCTGATGAGGTTCTAGGTTCTCTATAGGTTCCTGGAATTCAGAACCAAGAGAATGAATAAAACTCCATAAAACCAGTTCTTACAAAAATATTTGGGTGCTATTACCACAGACATAATCCATTATAACAATAAGTTGACAACCAGGACTGATTACGGTGTTGCGATATATATATATATATATATACATACACACACACACATACACATATATATCTAATACAAAATCCTATCTAGAGTGTGGAACAAGGATTGAGTTCAAAACAAGTTTCAATTAATAGAACAGAAAAAAACAATTTTTTATATATTGGAAAACTTGTCTAACTTGACAAAAAAATGTACTGGATCAATCTTTAGAGCCACCACGAAACTCAAAACGTTTTAGTTGTTTTTCACCCACACAAGTCAAATGTATACACTAATAACAACTTTTCATTACAATGACAGATCTTTTACTGTTTTCCAGTTTTGATTGATTTGTTTAAAAAATTACTTTATGTAACACTATTATATTGTGATGCAGTTGTTTACAAAATAGTTCATGTATTTAATAAATATATACTATTTTATCCATGGTAAGTTAACATTTTATCTGGTATTCAGTTCTACACAACTAATATATTTAGTCAGTGAATTGACAAATCATATTATTTATATCAAATATAAGAGATGTAATTTACATACATACATATGAATAGCAATATTTTCTACCACCCCCTCAAGAGATCACAGTTTTGAGACTTAAAAGTACCAATAACTAAGTTATTTTACCAAAATACTGTCTGCAACATACAGTGGAGAACACTCATAGCTCAATGCTTAAGTGAAATTAATAACTCTTTCATATCCAAGTTTGATAGTAAAAATTAGCTGGAACATGAAAAAGCAAATAAAAGAGTAAATTTGAAAAACAAAGCTAAATTAGTTCAGGAAAAAAGATTTAAGAAAACTCAGCTTGTAAGAGTATGCTTAGACCTGCAAAAGAAAACTCTAATGGACATACAAAACATCTAGAAATCCAGTGATCAGTATGTGAAAACATCATGACCTTGAAGATATCCAACAAGGGTATCAGGACATATAAGGATCATGACCTCAAGAATATCTAGTATGATAATGGTGATGAGAACCTGTAAACATCATCTTACAGGATATCTAGTAGGAAAAAGGTGATTGGGATATGTAAAGGTTTAATGATTTACATAAGTTTGACTTGGTGTCGCTTGGATTGCAAAAGCTTATAAATACGGGACATATACAAGTGCCATCTTGTTTAGACAAATGAATATCTGCCCAGAGTCTGCTGATAATAATTCAATATAGCCCCATGGCCATCAGTTGAAGGAATCGGCATACATAAAGACAAAGAATTTGAAAGGAAAATTAAAAATAAACTATAAGTGTAAAGAAAATAATGTAAAATTATGAATATGAGACAAAGAAGAATATTCTAGTGAATTTCTATGAAGAGTTGAAAAATAGGTACATATTTCCATTAGTTAATTTTAAACACTTCATTGCACTGTACATTCACGATAATAGATAGTTAGTGATATAGTAAAGAAAATGGAAAATAAAATATAAACATTTACGGAAACATCTGTTAGCTGAGCTTCTTGCACAGATCTTAAAATATAATGTTCATAAATGGAAACATCGGCTCATGTAGATACATAGATCTTGAAAGTCGAGTTGTTCAAAAGTTGAAAATAGCATTGATAACTGGATCAATTGTTGGTTGAGATGTTGCAAAAGAAATATCTGCTGAAGCTTTTCCCCAGACACTAATCATAGTAGAACAGTCTGGAAAATGATCTATAGGAAATAGTAAAGCCTATAAAATGAGTCAGATCAATGTAAGCCAGTAAAGCAATCACTGATTGGCGTGTCCTTTAGCCAATCAGGAAATGTCACAGACCTACTGAAGGATGTATAGATTGTACAGGAGTTCTTCTTGGTGGCAAAGAACAGGTTTATGTGTTTTAATAAAGGTGGCTTCCAAGATAGAGATGAAAGGAAGTTTACTTTTTTCGAATCAAATCCATCTTCCTTAACTGAAACTCATTTTTTAAATCTCTATATACAAAAGTTTCTATTCTAAAACAACAAGAAAAAGACTTAGAAGATTAAATTCATACCAAAAACAAATACATGTCTTACAGATAAATAGAACATGCTAATACTACCTTCATCTGGGGAACCGATTCTCCTGTTAGCATTGATTCATCTACAATACAGGGACCTCGCAACAGCAGTAAATCACATGGAACTAAATTATCATGTTGTGACCTTCCTATAAAAGTGTTAAAACACAAACAAAAGATCAAAATCATATTGAATGGTGTCAAATATCTACATCTATTACACCCCAAAAAAAACATTCTTTGCAAGTTTCAGCATTATACACAGTAAAAGTTAATGCCTCATGAATAAATAAGAATTTAAATTAAGACTGGGAGTTACAGCTCAGATGAGCTCTTGCATTGAGACAAAAAATTTCATTAGCAACTGCCTAAAACAAACAAAATGTAACTATTACACTTTATTTTTACAAAAAGCCCATAATAATCCAATTAGAAATAAGCTGTTCAATAATATTTAGAGTTTTACTATAAAGTTTAGTCATACATGGTACCTAAAAATGGAATCAACTTTATATCAACTTTGGAATATGATACTTTTACAAGAATAGATATCACACCAGCCTCTCTATCAAGAAGATCCAGGATTAAATCCTGACATCTACCACAACAGAAACAGTTCTCTTCATGACTTTTCTGAATACAACAGATTAGACATCAAAATACAGGATGAAAAACTAGTTAGTAATTAGTATCTAGTAATAATAATAACTATAAAAAGTAACTAATTAACAATTACACAATAACAATTATTTAGGTTACTAACCATGAAAATGACTGATATTTAATTGGCATAAAATTACTATAAATACTTCCCATAAAGTTTCAATCTTGTTCAAAACTTTTAGACAAAAATTAGTTTCACGAAAAAACAACACTTTTAAAAACAAAGCAAGGATGACATTTTACAACAGACCAGTGCAAACTATAAACCTAATAATACACAGGAGAGTATATTTACTTAAAAACAACAATTTAAATTCACAGTATGAGCATGAGACTTCACACCAAATCAATCCTTTAAGTTTAAGAACTGTCTTCTCCCTAAATTCCTGGTTTCAACATATAGGATAAGAAAAGTTAACATTTTCCTAAACTGAAAATGTATTTCTGACAGATACTTACTTCCTCTCACAAAAAGCTTTCTTGACTTATACTCCCTCTGTTGGTGCACATTTTCACTCATCACTAGCCTTGATACTCCCACTTATTTCTGCATACTAACATGCAAATAATTATGCAACAATCCTCCACCAATAGGAGTGAAACACTACCCCTATTTTAACTAGCACTCTATCTCTAATCTTGCAGCTGTTAACCAGTTTGAGATTGGTCAGATCACACCAAACCACACCAGAAGTGTGGAAGATGGGTAGGAAACATGAGAAGAGCTAAGTAACACTGTAAATACACTTTTAATTTAGGAAAATGTTAACATCTGATAAGATATTTTACCTCTTCTCACAAAAAGCTAGAATGCCACATTGAACTGGTTTAGGGCCAGTGAGAAGATGATCCACCTTTAGAAAGCACCCAAAGGAAAACCATAGGGTGTGAGAAGGAATTAAAACAACACACCTGTGGAAGACCACATCACTTCTTAACCTATTAGAGTGGAAACAAGAGGTACCCCAAGAAAAGTTATAGAAATAATGAGAACCACTCAGTGTAGAGTGGATAGTGTGTGACAGACTGTAAAGGAGAGTTCAACCTCAACCATTGCCTGGCAGCATTTGGAATTGTACATCAGTTCCATGGTAGGAAGAGGGTCCTCTACTTTCACCTCACGAATGGGTAAAAGCAGGGAAAAGGAACTTCTATACCAAGAATCCTCCTCTGCACGTGCACATCTCCAACAGATCTGCTGGGAACTGACATCTAGTCGATGATAGGAAGGAAGAGAGCCCAGGTGTGTTTACTCTCAGGTCCAAAACGTGCCGGCATTGGAAACTTTTTGTCCAAGTTGCAGTAGGAGGAGGGTACCCAGCTTTACACATGTGGGAATTCATGTCTCATCCAGCTACAACCAACACAAGATACACCAGGAACCAACATCCAATGGACGGTAGGGAGAGGGACACGTGTGAGGACATATGTGGCTGGACCGACTTCAACCAACATCCAATCCCAAACAACTGATATTCAGAAGATGGTAGGAAGGAGGGTGTCTCAGCCAGAGGGGCAAACTGCAATATATATGGTGGAGTACTACATGCAACACCTGGCAGAATCTGGAATTATACAACAGGTCTATGGTAGGAAGGGCATCACACCATCTAAACCAGCAGAATGCCACCACTCTACTCTCAACTGAGTGATATTGTGTACACACAGAAGGACAAGCCTCCATGGTCCACCACCCCAGCAGCTAGGAACTTGTAATTGGCAAGGACTCCCATACTCCACTAGAAAAAAAAGGAGGGAAAAAATGCTTGGGAAAGTCCAGAGGATCATAGCACTGAAGACAGTGTAATGGGTGACTGCAATACTCTATTTTGAAATGCATAGCAATCATGTCAATGGAGTCGATCAACCAACACCTGGTGGTATCTGGAATTGTATATTAGGTCTGTAGTAGGAAGAGTCTCAATGTAATGGATCATCAGAGATGGTCAGTAATCCCTGTCTGCTTTACTCATGTTAGTGCATGTGTGTACACTCTGGGTCAAACATATCTATGAAACAACAGACCATGAGGGATACCCACGAGTGGCCCTGCAAAACAACCCATATCATGGGTGTAACATGACTGAGTGATGTGCTATAATATTGTATTTCGATGCATAAAGGACACATTGACAGAACGATAAACCAACACCTGGTGGCATCTGGAATTGTACATCAGGTCCGTGGTAGGAAGAGCCTCAACATCCAATTAATTTATCATGGTATAAAATTACAGATCGTACAGTGCAGATTTGAGACTAAGAATACCTGGTCATGCAACACTCGCCACAGAGCAGGATTCAAATATGTGATAAAGACCTCTGCAAAGAAAAAGAATGGAATACTTTCCAGCCGCAGATAAACAGTTACAGCAGTGATGATGTCTCCCAAATGAAGATGGAAATTTGCAGCCAGGGACATGGTAATGTGATGGATCTGATGGGTAGAAAAATGAAAAAAGGCAACAACGATCAGGAGAAGGGAAAAAAATGCCAGGCAAATTCAATCTGGAAAGGGAGAAAAAAAGGTAACAGGAAAGGTGAGGATTTCACAAAAGAAACAGATGGACTTGGGAAGCATGGAAGGGAGCGGTACATGTCATATACCATTGGAGAGCCTTATTGATTGGACAAAAGAGGAAAGGCAAGAATGGAAAGCTCATAAAGGTGGAAAGGGAAAAATACCCTCTTGAGCAGCCAAAGTCTAGAGCATAAAGGAATGATCAGGAAAAAGCAGAACATAGGAACAAAAATGTCATGAACATCAATTGCGAACACATCAGAAGGACAACATTTGCATGCCAACAAGAGCAGGAACACAAACTTCAAGGAAAAATGACTTAAAGAACATGAAGAAAAAAAAAAAAAAAAAAAGGTGCAATGAAGGACAAGGAAAAGCATATAGGGCCACATAGAGGTGCTAATCTGGAAGGGAAGCAGGACAGAGAATACAGGCAAACAGAAGGAACAAAACAACATGGATAAGACTGGCAATTGGAAAATACAGCAAAATTGGTAAACCATAAAGTGGCAGATAATGCCACCCTATAGCCCACAGCAGAGGAAACCAAAAGGCCCTGTTCAAAAAGCTGAAGCAAAAAGGATGGGAAAGGACTATAATCCCTAAGTGCAGACAAAAAAGTGGTATGTGTACCATGTATGTAGGTAAACCTCCATGGAGGAAGAAAGAACAAGACAAATCAAAGGAAGCTACAGGCAAAAATCCAGCCATTTAGGTGAAGGACTGGACAAAGCCATATGTGAAGACAGAGTGAAGGTACCGACAAATGACACATGCCAGAGTATGGCTGACAGAAGAGTGTCTGAGATAAAGAAAGAGAAATGGACGAGACAACAAAAACCAGTGCAGCAGTGGAAATCACGTGTGAATTGGCCAATACATAACCAGCAGCAGAACACAACATAGAGTGGTGTATTGAGAAGAGTGACAAAAGCGTCCAAGTCTGGGACACCCCACAGAGCACACAAAACCTGAAAAATGGGAAGATCTGAAGACCATACCACAGAGAGAATCTTGTCAGGATGGGATAACTGATCTGAGACCAGATTCAGGGTGCCCGGATTATGACATGGCAAAAGTGATGGGTGACAGTGGGCCCAACACAGAAGATTCAATATGAGAAAACAGAGGCCTGTCAACTGAGCGTCTCTTGCATGGTGATGTACAAGACTACTATAGAAACAACAGAGTGAACCAACCAGCTCCTAGGAGCCCGAACAAAGTGAAGGAAAACTCAATGTACAGCAAGAAGTTCCAAGATTGATATGAAGAGAGGACTCGAAAAGAGAACATTGCCTTGAATGAGGAACATCCACGGAAATATTGTTCTGATCCAACCACCAGTTAAAGTCGGAATGTAAGGGAGTGGGAAGGGTAAGGGGGCATCTAACAGATCCTGAACAAAGCTCCATTGGTCTATCAAAACCCATTGACAATAACACAAGAGGGTGTGACCAAGAAGAATGGGGGTTTCAAAAAAGCCTATGTCTTCAAAAGAGAAAGAACTTCTCACACAGTAGTAGAAGGAGAAGATGAGATGCTGCATACAAGACATTCCATAGCTCGCAAAAGAAGTGAAGAAAGTAGGGTCCAACAGAGAAGGGAGTTGAAAACACTCCCAAATTAACCCAAAAATTATGTGGGTGTGAGGAAAAATTGCTCCACTTAGACAAGCCAACCCATAATGACAGTGTCCTTGAGAAGAAACTGAGGATGTAGGACTGAGTCATCTTGTGAGGAGGCAAGAAACAGCTATACATCCATAGAACAGTAGAAATGAAAGCCCCAAGAATGAATCAGGTGGGTAAAAGAATGAGATCCTTAGGAAGGATGGAAAGCTGGATTGTATAACAACAGGGGAGATGAATGGAAGTAGAGGACAAAACTTATTGAAACGATTTTCAGAACCTATGTTTTGACTGCTCAGGTCCTCCAAACATGGACAAACTGAAAGAGCCTGGCCCCCATCAGCCATGACCCAAGATCGGTGGTCAGAGTAAGACAACTATGGGAATAGGCAATTGAATTATTGGGGTCTGATCCCCACTAATGAAGAAGTGACATCAATGCTGTGTGTACAAATAAGAATAAGGGAAGTTGGAACAATGTTAATCAAAGGCATAATTGTCCACAGTATTTGGGGGTTGTGGCATACCAAACCCAAATGCAAATGCTCCCCAAAATGACTCACATGAACCTAATTATACAAGGAAGAAGGAAAAACTAAAATAATGATGCAAAGGCTAGTCCCAAGAAGAACAGGGGTGGAACATAGGAAACAGGAGATAGGGACAGAATATAACCTACCTGATTAATCAAATCCACCAAAGGAAAAAAAGAGATCTGGGCAAGACCCCCCAAAACAACATGCAACTAAGAGGCACATCCAAGATGGGGAAAAAAAGGCTGATCAAATCCAAAACTTCCCAATCACTGAAAACCATGATAGAACCATCACAAGTTTGTTCTGTTTGTTGCATGAAATTGTTCAACTCCAAACAGACCAGAGCCATCAGTTCATATGATGACAATCGTAGTTCTGACCTATTAAGCATGGATGACAATTCTGCTGCAGCAGTTGTAGTCATGACCAACAGAAAATGTGAAAGAGGAGAGAAGACAAATAAAATAATTTTTAACTTTCCACAAAAAGAGACTGAAAACAGTAAAGAACAGTGTAATTAAAGTAGAAAAATTAAGAAAGTAAAACCTGTGGACAAGTGAAACCTCAAGAAAAAACTCATCTATTCAACGAGACTGTCAATGGAGAAGTGGTTAACATTAGAGAGGGTGATAGTTACAGTAGGGGTAGTGTTGCACTCCTATTGGTGGAGGGTTACTACATAATCACTTGCATGTTATTATGCAGAAATAAGTGGGAGTATCAAGGCTATTGGTAAGCGAAAATTTGTGCCAATACAGGGCAGTATACGTCGAGAAAGCTTATTTGTGAGAGGAGGTAAGATATCGTATCAGAAGTTCATCTTTAGATTCTATAATTTCTCTGAGGCAGAAGTTTTATTTTTCCCAACTAAACAGTCTTTTTTTCTCCACTCAATGAAGGTGGCAATAGATTAAAAACTGCTTGGCCTCAAACAATTTTGTACATTTATTACTAAACATGTAATACATCATAGCTGTACACAGTCTTAAGCAAAAGGCAAAATAGTTTTCAAAGAGAGGTATGGTGACATTCTAAAACTGAATGTCTAAATATTAATCAACAAATGGTGTATACTTTCTTCCAAACCTCTATAGTTTTTGGTGTTGGATATGAATTTACTATAAAATTGGTTCTTTCAAAACTCTATGTAATACTGATGTTCAAATATAAGCTCCCTATCAAGTCTTGTTTAGCATGTGGTTGCCCAGAAATTTTTCTGGACATGTTCAAAAGATTTTATATTTAATTATCAGATTTACAAATTGTAATACTCAAGCTACCAGAAGAAACAGTTGAATGGTTAATTATGATTACTTTACATATATTTATTTTATAGTTTATATCACAATTCTTTAGAACAATTTCCTTGCATTTTACATCTTACACTGTACAGGCAAAAACATTTTTAGTTTATAATACTACAATATAGGCTTTTTCTTTTGACAAATTCCTCTTCACTAAATAACCAGCCTCCTGCTTCATATACGTGTAAAACATAGACCAATGTTTCACAAGTAATGTCACCTTACCTATGGAAACAATATCTCCTGGAATAAGATCACAGCTAATAATTGGACGCCACTTCCTATTTCTGTATACCTGTTAAAATATAATTAAGTCAAGAAGGAAAAATAGACTTTTAAACAAGGTGATACAATAACAACAATCACATATTGCATAAACCCTATAAAATGATGTTTAACTAATCACAACAATCAGACATAAAGACATTTACAATGAGAACAATTAAATATTAGAAAAAGACTTTGAATATCTAACCCAATATTACTTGTAATAGCCTAAGAATAAAATATTTTTCTCCTAAACCTGCTTTATGGTATATATTTAACCTTCATACAGTTACAATAATCTAAGTGGGGCCCTAACTTAAGAATGATAAGTTACATTTAAATATATTTATTTGAAAGAAAAGAAAGGAACAATACTATTTTTAAAGTATTTTTAATACATGGGAAATATCTACTGGCATTTACCGTAGCTAAAGATATATTTATTAGAAATTAACAGGCTATACCACTATGACAGATTACTAATTAATTTAACAGTGCCATCCTGAGATAACTTCATGCTTTGTATGACAAGAACGCTTGCATCTCCATCTTCTCAAATAAACTCTGATACCAATTTTGTGCATTTTTTTTGTTTTCAAAAATTGGTGTGAAATGGCATTTTTATAGTGAATTTACTGAGGAAGTAGGATTGTAGATGATGTGATTGATATGTTTTTATAAACCCCATTTTTACTTAAGTGTCAGAAGGTCTTGAATACTTAAAATTAAATAATTCACAAATGTAGAACACAACTGCCTCAATAATCAATGTCATAACTTCCCCTCTCACCAATCCATTTGTTGGAGAATATTACTATTATGTTATTGCCACTATTATGTAATTTCAACTTACATATTCATAAAGCCAATTTATCATACCACTCAGTAGTCTAATATTCCAAAGAAACTCACAAATTAGATATTTCTTGAAAGTATGCAGTTTTACTACAATACAAATAGATAAGTTAATAATAAACTATCTAATAGTTCCTCTTATTTGAATTGCAGTTAAGTTGATGAAATTGACAGCCCATTTATAAAATAAATATAAGTTAATACGGGAACAAAATATTATACGATGGTTCATATGTTATTCTGTCATTTTGAAAATGTATTAATTTTTTTTATTTTGCATCAGTATATAAAATTCCTATACATCTGTCAGTTAAGTACAAAGTTATTAAATTTTCTTTAGTATGAAATCTTTATAGAAGTATATGGTAAATGTAAGTTGTGGGTGGGTGCATCATATATCTTTATATATATATATCAAATATGAAACATTCTCTTAATTTCTCTTCTACTATAAAGTTGAAATTCAATCCATTACAATTTTTTTAAATATTTTTCTCTCAGTGATCAACAAAGATTCTAAATGTGAGTGAATAAAATTCAATATATTTAAATCTATCTAAAAAATTACTTCTATATATTTCAAAAATTTCTAATATATTTTTCTTAATAGAGAACTTATGTACATCAAATACCAAGTCTTGTATGTTTTTATGATATTTTTAAAACACATCAAAATAAATTAGAGGAACAACCAGACTTATTCGAGTTCTTAAATTTTATTTAAAAAATATATTTGAGTCGTTACCTGAATCATGTGTGGCTTATTTCCCATTTTTCGGATTTCTGAAAGATTCCGCAGTTGTTGTTGAACAAGGGTGCACTCAAAAGCAATTAACATAAACAGGGTGAATACACTGTAGTACCAATATTCGTCAAGACACCATAATCCCACACAAAAAACTTGAAAGACAAAAAATGGTGCGGTAGCTCTCTCCTTGAACAACTCCATGAACTCAGGAACAACCATTTCTAATCTGCAGGAAAACAAGTAAGGTGAGCCTTTAATGAAACAATGTTATCATACAGAATCGATAAGCTAACACCTATACAGTGCAAATCATTATTTATGAATTTAAATAGGTGCCTAAATATTTGTAACACTGTAGTTATTTTAATAACTAAACAGAGTACCTCTTGGAAACTATATAAATACAGGGTGGTTCTAAAAATCTATCCATCCTTTAAGTTATGCAAATTCTGTATATTGATTCTAATAGTTTTAGTTTTATTTCAGATAATATTGGAGAATGTCTAAAAATAAACCCAAAACCACTGACAAATTAAAGCAACAGATCACAAATGCTTTCCAACAAATCAGAGTTGAAAATTGGGTAACAGCATGTCAGGCCCTCCATCATAGATGTCATGATTGTTTGAATGCTGGTGGAGCTCAGTTTGATCAGCAGTTTATGTACAGTTAATTTGTTGTATGAAATATAAATAAAGATATTTAGCTGGCTCGTAGGTTCATTTACTATAGTCATATGAGCATTCAAAATGTAGGTACATTTATTTTGGGCCACCCTATAATTCACTAAACAAATCAAGGTTTTTTAGTAATGACTTTACTTAGTATCTTTATGACTTTAAACACGAGTTACTTGACTGTTTTTGATGCCTAATTTACTTTTACTTTTGTTCATTATTAATATCATTAAATTTTTTATATTGATAATTTAATGTTTGTAATTGGATATATTATACTATATACTTTCGAAAAAACAATAAATTTACTCTACAATTATGGAACTGTGAAGATTTCTTAACATTTACTTTGATTTCAAACTCTTATTAGCTGTACTAATTATAATAAAGAATTGGCAAAGGCTGTGAGGTTAATTATAATTTGGCTATTTGTAAAACTTGATCCAAATGTTTCATCTAAATTTTCTACTGGCTAGATCTGAACGTGATGTAATCTTACCACCTTGATAGAAAAACAATGTTGTTTAAGTATATTTCTATTGTTGAAGTATATCATTGTTATTAACTATACTGTTCTATTGTTCATCCATACCCATCACGTCTACTTACTCATTTTTCCCATACTTTCGTTCTGCTGCTGCTATTTCAGAATCTTCTTGATAACCCTTCCATTCCTGGTAGCATAGCATTGGTAAAGCAACAGGAAATTCTAACCCTTGAAAACACTTTTTGTTTGGTTCATATACATATTTTGTTTTCTGAAAAACAAACCATACTTGTCCTCCTTTTTCACCATCTCCCTTTTAAAAAATACATAAAAATCAGAAATTAAAGATCATTATCTTAACACTGTTATCAAATAAGCAAAATCTACATTTTATAAGTGTTATTATAATGTACAGTGCAACTAAAAAGTCTGATTATGAAAGTTAAAAGTAGAGAGAGAGAGAGAAAAAAAGAAAAAGTTTAACAATACCTATTATACACGTAGAACAAGTAGGAAATGTGCTATATAACATATTAGTTTTGCTATACACTTACATGTACAAATCAGAACATGATTTTTCAAACTTTATGTGAATGAATTAAAAATCTGCTTTTACAATTTATTTAATGTTGATTAGCAAGTGTAAACAGTTAAAAAACAAGTTACTGATCAAAACAAATTTGGGGGAGTAAAATACAAATCTATAATAGGTTTTATGAAATTAAAATTAAGCATGTATAAAAATAAATAGAAACAATTCAATGATGAACAGAAGAAGCACATGCATTTTTTGTTTATAACAGTTTAATATCAGGAAATTATATTTATATCTTAGAAAGCTTATTGGCCAGATATATGGCAAATGATACTAAAATCCTAGGAAATTTTATTTATATCACTCTGTGGCTAGAGCCCTGTCCAGCTGAGAGAAAAGATCAGCCATCAAGTTCAAAGCCTCTGGCATGTGACAAGCCATTATACTAACCTAATGAGAATAAGCCCAAACTAGCAGGTCCAATATGTGGAAGCAAAGAGTCTTAGAAAAGGTACCCCTCTGACTGATAATATTAGAAATGACCGTGGAATTATTAACAGAATGGATAATGATCAACCGATCAATGAGATGAGGAAGGAAACGGGAAAAAGCTTGATACAGAGCAAGAAGTACAAGGCCACTGATGTGGAGTAAACATTCCTAGAGAGCCCATACTCTCAAAGTAACGTAGTCATTCAGAGATGCCACCCAGCCCAACAGAGAAGCATCTGTAAAGAGATGGAGATCTAGTCAGGAGACAGCAAGGGGATGCTCACAGTGGTTTAGGTATAGTCAAACCACTAATGAAAATCCTGTAGAAGAGGAGAGGGGAGGCACACAATCAAGGACAACAGCTCCTAAGAACCAACATTTCAACTAGAAGAGACATATGTGTGTGTGCAACCTAAAGGAATGAATGGTTCAAGGGAAACCAGAGTTCCCAAAAGTAAAATAGCCTCATGCACAGGGTGTAAAAGAGAATCCTAAACCTTGGTGGCAAGACATTCTATTGACTGTAACTGAAGTGGTGATGGCTGAGTTCGACTGAGATGGAAGTTGAATAACCTGCCCAGATGTACCAAATATAGGATGGACATGAGAAAAAAACAGAGAAACTTAACTGTGAGAAAAGGCATCCTCCCAAGAAAGGGTGAGGAGAAGCCAATCATTTGTGTAATAATGGAGCCTCAACCCTAATCCTTGAAGAAAGCAGGTGACTCAAATAAAGACACAAGGAGCAGACCTAATACCAAAAGAAAAAGCATGGAACTGGAAGACCCAATCCCAAAGAACAAACCAAAGAAACCATCTGGAGGATGGGGTGATTGGAATGTGTAAAAAAGTTTCCAAAATGTCCTCCTTGGTCATCCACAGTCTGAGTGAAAAGAACCATTGGAGAGGAAAGGAACCCTCCATGTGGAGTTGAGGGATGATTAAAAAAATACCAGTTGAGAAATGACAGGTCAATAATTGGATGCCATTCCCTAGTCTTCTTGCAGACCACAAAAAGATGAGAGTAATAACCAGGAGTAGGAGTAAAAAATATCAACTCTATGGCATTATTGGCCAAAAGATGCTGTTTTTAAGGCCTTTCTCTGCCAATATATGTTATAAACAATGGCCAGAAATTTCAAGTTTTATTTAACAAACAAAATATGTTATTTCATTTAATCTTTTTTTTAGAAAAATTTCTGATAATCAAAAGTTAAGCAAAACAAAGTGAAATGTTACACAACTTAAACTTTGGATACATACATACATACATCTGTTATATAAAGACATAGAGCTGTCTGTCCATCACGTCAATATTTCGGCCATTGTGGTACCGATCAACACACAACTTGCATGAAATGATGGCAAAAAGTAATTCTGTCTTTTTAAATTTATTCCAGGCATATAGATATATAAAACAGATGATGCACTACTTTGGGCATGTAATTAGATTTTAGGGTAGGTTGGTAGAGATCATTATGAGTAATAACATTGAATAGGGTATATGATTACCCCTTGATAAGTATTGTTGGTGCACAAGAATCATAATCACTGGCTAAAATTCCCCATTATATTTGCTTGGTTGCCAAGGAGATACATTGATACAACATCAACACATTTTATCCAATTGGAACCCTCAGCAGCAACTCTAAAATAAAATGCATGTTTTATTTGCAGCACACTTCAATTTTGAAAATATTCAAATTAAAGCATGCTTTTTCAGCTCAGCAGGCTAACATGAAAACCAGGAAGACAGTCTTCAGAAAAGACCGCCAAACAGGATGCAACTTGTCATTGCCTTGCTCACCAGAAGTTCACCTACCATCACGCAGAACAGAAGTGAAATACCCTTCAACACCATGCTATTTGCCAGAACATCGACTGTAAACTATTACAACAAGAGTGCAACACCACCCAACACTGTATCGCTTGCCAGGATGATGATCGTAGGGTACCAGAACAAGAAAGAAAAACTGTTGTACATCAGGAGGCAATGTTCAACTCTGAATACTGACAGCATGAGCAATTGCTACATATATATATATATATATTTTAATAGTCCAGTAGGCTGGCCATTGGTTAAAACTTTATGATCAGCGTGGTTGCATCTACTGCTGTTATGGCCAGTCCTCCCCTGACTACAAGTATCTATATATATATATATATATAAAAGCCACTGTCTGTTGGTAATAATCAGTTTGTTCATAACATCCAGTAACTTAGGCATTACAATTAGTGGTTCAAGTACCCAAACTTCAAGCAGAAGTTTAGAGCAAGCTCTTTCAATATTTGAAAAATCAAATACAAATACCAGGATATTTGAAATTAATATTTGTCAATGTTGGATTTCAAACACTGGATCTCAAGGTGGCTCACAAATTACAGCACTCGACTCTCAGATTTTCATTTTAATTGAACACTTCTAACACCATCTATGAAATAAATTCTAAATTAAAATTCTGAATAAAACTAAAAATAATTCAGAAACAATATAAGAAAGAAAACGTCCCTTAGTAAGAGAAAGCAAACGTAGATGGATGGCATGATAAAATCAAGAAAATTGAGTAAAAATTAGAATAACATAAACAGAGGAAAAACAACTGAAGAAACAAAGTGAAGGAGATAAATTGATGGTGAAAGACATGAAAATGGGTTCTGCCCCCCTATGTTTCCCTGTGCACTGAATGGGTTAATCAGCTAGTGTGTGTGTGTATATATATATATATATTTATATTGTTTTTTTACATGAATAATGTTGGAATATGGGTAAAGGACTTAGTGATGCAACAATAGTAAAGTTAAAATTCCTCATTTATGATTATGTTAAGCTAAATCATTAAAAAAAAACTCTCTCAATACACTATTTTGTACATTCTTATTAGGTAGTTACCAAAAATAAAAAATATCAGCATTAACTGTCAACTCATACAAAAACATTGTATGAACTTGACCTGTTAAGCACCTTTTACTAACCACAATTTTATACAATCAAATTAACTGATTTTTAGTTATGTTGATTGAATTAATAAAGAATCAGTTTTTGATCTGACTGGAGATTCTGATCTCTTATGACTTTCTTACTCGATGCTTGGTTAAAAGATTTTTATACCAGAAACTGCTTCCTAGTTTGCAGTGCTCACAAAAATATAAAAGCATACATGTACCAGTAATCATCAAAACTGGCTAATATTAAAGGCCCTAAGGAAAAGTTATTTTCACTTGAGAAACCTCTTCAACTTTGGGGTTCTCACATAAGCACAGTTAAGATGTTTCTGCAAGAGTTTTATGATGGGCTGAACTTGTAATCAGCTCTAACATAATCGTGTCCAGTTTTGATAAAGTAAAATATATACATTCGTGTGTGCTTCAGAATAACCAACTCTTGTTTCAAAAAACTATATGCACTTTGTATGACATAGTAGTTCATACAACCTGGTCATGATGGAGTTTTACAAGCTCTGGTGATCCATTGTTTGGAGTTGGAACAACTTTTACTAAGGATGCTTTCCATGGATCTTTCTCCTGAAATAAAAATAAATTGATAAATATAAGCAATTAATCTTACGAAAT